ACCACTGGTCCTATAGGGCTCATCCGTCCTGGATTCCCTGTATTTTCAGTTCCTATCTGTACCAGTGTACCTCCTCTGGTCTAACCAGTCTTGCAAGATAGAATTCGAGTCATGGTAGTGGGAGCGGGGAGGAAACCTTTAGGAACTAGAGGAAGGTTGTATTTCTCATCATTGTAATTATTCACTCTACTGAACTCCAAAAAACAGTGATGTTATAATTGTCTCCCTTTCTGCTCAAAGTATAGCCAACCTTGGGGTTTGTTCATCTTTGTCTCTGTAGTGTAGTTGGAGTCCACTTCTCATTGATATTAGGTGCTGTTGGGTCAGTTCTGACTCATGATGACCCTGTGTTGCTAGAAGATAACATTATTAAAGCTGAAAATCATACTAAGAATGCATAACAGTTCCTTTTTATCCTTGATTTACACAGCATTTTATTGAAGGTACTTTTCAAGCAAAGTGGCTTTCTGTCCAGTGCTGAGTTAGGCGTCTATAGAAGATTTTATGTCTTTTGTCATTGTCCAACTTTTATCATGGAGTGTTTGTGAGGTAAAGTGAGCCAGTTAGATATGATTTACTATTAAGCTTCTGCCCATTTAGTTAGCACACAGGCATGAAAAAAAGACAAACCTAGAAGAACGTGTGCTTTAGTCGCCTTCATTTAACTGGGTAATGGAATGAAAAATTTATGAGGAGCAATAAATCTTTGAATCGTGAATATTTTTAGAAATAGTCTCAGTTTTTAAAACTGATAACTAAAACGAATAGTACCACCTATTAAAATCAAGACTGCTATGTTGTTTCTACCAGTCTGTCCTGTCTAGAAAATAATTCTAGCCCTGCTTTGCCTGTATTCCCTTATTTTAAAATAAGTCATTGTGCACTGCTTTTTCTAGGTTTTTAATGTATAAATATATTTTAGTTTGTTTCACCATTTTTAAGGTTCCAGTTAGAAATCTTATAGATTTATGGGTATATTGTAAGAAATTAATACATTCCTTTTTGTTAGGAAAAGTTAGCACATAGGTAAAAGGGGGTATTATCTCATAACTATGTAATACTTAATCATGCATACTTTCAGTTATAGTAGCATAATACATCACTGTTACTACTAGATACTCCCATTAATCTTACTGCAAGGTGCTTCCTCTTAAGCAGTGTTTGAGAGTAGTTATTGTTACGTTAAGTAACCCTTACTTTGCCTTTCTACTTGCCTTTCCCTGTTGGCCACTGGTCCTGTTATCTTTCTGCGTCTCCTACTTCATTTTGAGTAGGTAAGTGCCAGTGGCAGCAGGTGGGTAAGTCATTTTACCCTACTTTTATGAATGTACAGAATATATTTCTGTATAGTATTGGATTCTGTACAAGTGACCACCTGTATGATTAATGAGCATATGTGTCTATTTAGAATGTAATCAGTGTTTATATGTACTTAAGTTCTTCATACTTCCTATAGTTATAAATTTTGAACCTGGAATGTAAACCATTCCACTGTAGTATATTTTAGCTGATAGTATCTATATGCAAAACGGGAGGCAAATTCTCACACAAATAGTCCTTAGTACATTTCTTTCCTATTGCAATTAAAATTTATTGTTTTCGGCTATCAGAGGAAGCCTTTATTGAAAATTTACATTCTCCTTTGTCTGTTACCATGTATATTAGGAAAATGGTTATGGGGCCTGAGTAGGGATACTTTAAAACAATTTCTAATGAAAATCATGGAAAGGGAATTTTTTTTTTTTTGTAAGTTTAATAGAATTGTGGGTTAGGGAACAAAAAACTGTAGAACACCTGTACAGTTGTATCACATTTTACTTTTCAAGTTTGCTTGACAGGGTCAGTGCTGCTTGCCCATTTAATAAAGCTGGACAGCATCCCAGTCAGCATCTCATCGGTCTTCGGAAAGCTGTCTACAGAACTGTAAGAGCCAACTTTCAAGCAGCAAGACTAGCTACCCTATATATGCTGAAAAAATATCCTTTTCTGTCTATATGTGGGAATAAGCAATATATTGCAGTATTCTTTATATAGGTATTACAGTTGCATCCTGTAAACATTGATTGTACACTGACATTGCATATTTTGAAACTAATTTCCACCATCATTTCTATTTTAAAACTGGAAATGCATTCCAGGGGGAATGACAATAATAGACAGGAAGAAAGTTCTTCTCTTGTGTGGCTCATTTTCAACACCGGGAAAAGCTTGAAGTGTCCCTCCCTGTGCTGGTCCAGAGAACAAAGTCAAAAACGCCTGATTTTGCTTGCTTCGATGATTTAAAAAATTACTGATCATGACAAATTTGTTTTATGGTATGGTACAGTGAGCTGGCAACAGGAAATCCTTCCCCTCCTATCAAAGAACAGAGGCTCTACAGTCAGATTGCCTAAGTTTATGTGTTGGCCTTTGCAAGGATTCCCATCTAACCCTAAGCAAGTTTTCTGACCTCTATGTCTTGCTTTTCTCATTTTTAAAATGCTAATAATAGCAATCTTCCTCCTTGAGGTTTTGTTGTTGAATTCCGTGATTTACTACATGTACAATGCTTTGACAGTGGCTGTATGGTAAGCACACAGCCTACATGACCATAAAAGTCTGTCACTTAAAGTTTTAAGTCAAGAAATTAGTTTGTAACCAAAATAAATGAACAAAATAAAGATGTACAAGGTCTTTGTCACACTTAAGATCTGTACGTTATGAGTAAATGAGAAGCAAAAAGTACATTCCGCTAATAACTATAAAGCTTAGAGTTTACAGATTGTCATCTATTCTTTCACTCTGTTTTCACACAAACCTCAGCTAAATTGTCTTGTATCCTCACAATAAGAAAACAAAAATTATGGTTGAGTGAGTTGCTTATTGTCACGAGTAATAAATGAAGTTTTTATCTTAACTATAAGACCTGAGTCTTTTTCTTTTTAAAATCATTTTATTGGGGGCTCCTATAGTTCTTATCACAACCTATACATACATCCATTGTGTCAAGCACATATGTACATTTGTTGCCATCATCATTCTCAAAACATTTGCCTTCTACTTGAGCCCTTAATATCGGCTCCTCATTTCTTCCCTCTCTCCCCTCTCCCCCTCCCTCATGAACCCTTCATAATTAATAAATTATTATTATTTAAGACCTAAGTTTTAAATCCTTGCTGTCTTATAGTATGTAGAAATGGAGGGAAAGCTTCCAATTTGAGTCGGAGGGAAAGCTTTCAATTTGACACAATATGTGCTTGTGTCAGTCACTCTAGGTGGTAGGCAGACATGATGAAGAGGTATACTACCCACTCCTAAAGACTTATTTGAGTGTGGTCAATAGATAGTTTGCATAAAAACCACAAACCTGTTGCCTTCAAATCAATCCCACTCACAAGCACCAAAAGGAGTTCCATAACTTTTCAAGCCACCGGTGTTTAGGTCCTTAATCTAATGTTGTTTTTGCTACTTGGGGGCCGATAGTATTCAATACAGGATTGATTCAGTTCAATACCAACAGTATGGCAATACAGTGTAAATGCCATCCACTATCGCAGGGCAATTTACTTGTCCAGTGGAGTCAGAGAAGGCTTGTAGGAAGATGGCACCCGAGTTGACTTTCAAAAAATGAATAGGAGTTGGCTATGACAATAAGAGTTCATTCCATACAGAACTAGGCAAACAAATACACACAGACAGGTGTGACACTGGCGTGTGAACCACAATGAGTATTGAACATAAACTCAGTGCCAGGCAGAATGCTACTCACTAAATCATAATTGAATGGACAGGATCCTGTTTTGTGGAGCTTATACTTTGGGGAGGGTTGGCAGGGCAGCTTCAGAAAGATTGCACACTGTCTGAGTTCCCTGTGCTGGTCATATTCGTAGACACTGGCAGAATTCTTGTTTTCATCAAGTTTACCTTCTAGTGACTGAGCTAATCTATCAAAAGTGGACAGGGAATATTTTTTTGAATAAAGATAGCAGACTCAATAATAACACAGAGTGAGGGCGTGCTACTTTTGACTGGATGGTAGGAGAAGTTCTCTCTGAGAAGATGGCATTTAAATTGGGATCCAAATGACAGTACAGTTCAGGAGCAAGTGTTTCAGTGAGATGGACTATCGAGCATAAAGATCTGTGGTAGCAATGAGTGTAGCAGATTCAAACAGAAAGTTGGTAGGCAGAGTGAAAGACTGATAAGATCATCAGTATATATCTTCTTAAGAAATATAGCCTCAAAAAAAAGAAAAGAAAGAAATATAGCCTCGTGACCCAGAAGCCCTGGTAGCACATTGGTTAAACACTAAGCTGCAACCAGAAAGTCAGCAGTTCAAACAATGGCTGCTCCGAGGGAGAAAGATGTGGCAGTCTACGTTCTTCAAGATTTGTAGCCCTGGAAACCCTCTGGGGCAGTTTACCCTGTCTTATGCCATCAATGGCAATGCCTTTGGTTTTGGTAAAGCCTGATCAGAGCAAAAAGAATGCAGACTCTTTTATTATGATAATAGAATTATAACCATAAGTATAGAATAAGTTTAACTAGTTATAAGGAAATAGAAGGTGTAATTTTATAGTATCAACTTTGAAAATGTAGAAGAAAATGGATTATTGCCTGTTAAGATATAAATCTCCAAAACTGGCCCAGGAAGAAGTGAAAAACTTAGAGCGACCAGTAAAGTTCTTGATACACTGATATGCAATGATAGCTAAATTATATTGCTAATTATGGGAATAAACAAGACACATAAAATCATACTTATAGTACACTTTTAGTGTTATCTTAATGATGTATATGTGTGTGTGTGAAAGAGTTCCTAAATGGCACAAATTGTTAACATCTTGACTGTTAGTCAAAAGGCTGGTGATTTGAACCCACTTAGCAGTTAGGGGCAGACAATCCTAGAGACGTACTACTTACAGATCACAGCCGTGAAAGCTTAGCGAGGAGGTCTACTGTGCCCACATGGGGTCACCGTGAGCCCAAATTGACTTGGTAATTAATAACAGGGAGACTTCTCATTATCTTTTAATTCTGTCTTTTCATATGTGTATAGGAGGGGGTGTATGTGTATAAATATACATATGCCCACATCCACATTTATTTTTTGATTTTCTTTCATAAACAGTAATTGCCTTTGCCTTTAGATAAGGAAACTAGGATACAGGTTATACTAGGAAACAGCCTGAGAAGCAATGTACCCTTTAATACTTTATGAAGTTTGAGCCATGTAAATGTATTACCTATTCAAATGCTAAATAAAATAAAAATTCTACATGATGCATATGATTTTGTAGTTTTTAAAAAGCTATTTCAGTCCCAAAAAATGTTAGAAAGCTTCCCCTACATAATTTTATTTATGAAAGTACTATAATTTTAGTTCTGTAGCTGACTATATCATTAAAAAAATAAAGACTATCAACCAAGCTCACGTATAGAGATACAAAATACTTAGAATATTTATAAATTTAATCTTAATACTATATGATATATTATTATAATGTGACAAAATAGGAGTCTGCTAAGAATACAAGAATTTTATAGATAGAATTTTTCACAAAAACCAATTACAGGGGAATAAAACTTTGTCATTATAGTGATAGATGCCCATGAGGATTAGAAAAGCGGAAACAAAACAAGAACCTCTAAATAGGGTTAGTGCTACTTACATCAGTAGTCTGTGTATTGCAGATAAAGTCCAGCTAATGATGTCCTGCAGTGTGCAGAATGGGAGAAGAGAGGTGTGTACTGTAGCATAGTAATGACACAATAAAGTGTACCATACAGCTTCAAAAGGTAGGTATCAAAAATAAAGATCCTGTAAGATATCTGAAGTGTTACCTAATATATTAGGTCTTTAAGATTAGTTTCTGTTTTTAAAAACCTAAAGTAAATCTCCAGTAAAAATTTAAAATAAGAATTAATAAATGTAATGTTAGACAGTTTTACTTTATAAAAAGGCTTGGTTGGTTGCCTTAACCTAATTTAACCTACCCCCTGAACTCGGAGAGTGACAATGTAACCAACTTCATCTGTGTGGTGCCTTTTAAGGAGCTGGGCCTAGGACTTAGTGATGAGCAGGTTTCAGAAGAGGAAGCTCATAACCTTACAGATGGCTTCAGCCTGCCCGCCTTAAAGGTAAGCCATTTGTGGAAGGGACAGGCTGCAGACAGGTTAATAAGTTTTCCACCAATGACACCCTTCTTTGGATTTAGGTAGGCTCATCAGTCCTACTGTTGTCTTTTCTCCTGTATATACATTTTCTTCATAAGGAAAATTTTCATTGAGTAAACGTGTCCCATTCCACCAACACTTCACTCCTGGGCTAGAATTTTATTAAACCTCTATACTGGTTTTACCTAAATATGGGATTAAGCCTTCCTGTATTCCATGATTATATAATTTGATATAACATTCTAGGTGGCTGATATTTTAGTGTGACATTTGACTAATCTGTAGCATCCTTTTTTCAAGCCCAGTTCTTTTAGTTACATAGGACAAAGTGAAAAATTTGACGAAGTTATAATTTTAAAAGGTGTAGTTTGTTTAAAATATCAGCCATTCTACTTTATTGATCGGTCGTGCTTTTTTTCTCTTTCCTTTTTTTTTTTTTTTTTAGGTTTTGTTCCAACTCTGGGTGGCTCAGAGTTCAGAGTTCTTCAGACGTTTAGCTCTGTTACTTTCTACAGTGAATTCACCTCCTGGATCCCAGCTGACTCCCGCACTTTGGCCTCATCGTATTTTATCAGATGTGATTCAAGGTCTACCTCATGCTCATTCTGCCTGTTTGCAGGAGCTAAAACGCAGCTATGAGTTCTATCGGTACTTTGAAACTCAGCACCAGTCTGCACCCCAACGTTTATCTAAAACCCCACAGAAGTCAAGGGAACTGAGTAATGTCCACACAGCAGTACGCAGCTTGCAGCTCCATCTGAAAGCATTACTGAATGAGTAAGTTTAGAATGTCCCCGTGGTTAGCAAGCTTCACCGTTTACCTCTGTGGTTGTTGACTTGTGCCCTAGCTAGAACGCAGCAGCCAAGCTGAAACATGCAGCATGAAAGACGGTTTAGAGTCACAGACATAGCAACTATTTGGAACTACTATAATTTTGATATATTAAATCAGAATCTACATTTTAACTGGGGATATATAAGAATCACCTAGGTATCCTAAATAACTTTCTTGATAGAAATTAGGGAAAATAAAACTATAAAAGGCACTACCCTAGATGTATAGCTTTATTTTTGCTTTCTTTTTCCAAAACTATAATTTGGGGGAGCCATTTGCAAATTTATAAATGGAGTCAGACCAGAATGAACCAATTCAAAGCCCTGCTTTCAGCTTTAGATATCAAACCACAATTACCTCTGAAGTCTCCTTTGAACCAAACAGTAGCTTGGCTTAATTACAAAAGTATATTGGCCATGAGTATCATGCTTTAAAAAAAAAAATTAGATATGTGGGATCATATTGACGACAACAACTTGAAAGGTTAGATGAGAGACTTGTTAATGATTGTGGAATAATTTGAAAAACCATAGTGAGAATGTGTGCATTACTTGAGCAGTGTAATCAGTGTCACTGAATTGTATATGTTGAAATTGTGTAATTTTTGCTGTCTGTTGTCGCCCCCCAAAACAATAATAATTAAAGAAATGAGCTTTTAATTCTGATAAATAACTCTTCTCCTGGAACTTGCCATCTGAGAGAATTTTTTGCCGACTTTAGAATAGTACAAGAGGTGTTGTTATAATCAATTGACGAGGCATTGTTGATACTCTGCCCTAATTCTCAAAATGTTATATTCTACATTGGTATATAGCTTTATCAATTGAAATCACTGTTCTTAACAGAAAATAATTTCAAGTTCAAAAATCACGTCAGATGCATCTTGTATCTGAATACAGTCATTTCTAGCAAGAGTTTTTGGTAACACATGGTCATAATGTAGGACTGGAAAAAGGAAATTGTTGGTAATCAGGAAAGTGGATGTGCAGCATGGTCAGAAAAATCTAATGAACTGATTATAGTTGGTATATGTGAGCCTACATACCAAATCAGAAATGGGACAGGACAATAGTCAATGTTGTAAGATAAGAAAATAGGTCAGAAAACTTAATCTGATGCAAAAACTCACTGCTATTGAGTCAATTCCGACTCACAGTAACCCTATGGAACAGAGTAGAACTGTGCTTGTGGATTTCCAGAGCTGTGGTTATTTACTGTAGTGGAAAGCTTCCTCTTTTCCCCACAGAGTGGCTAGTGGTTTCTAACTGCTGGCCTTTTCAGTTAGCAGCCCAACATGTAACCTACTCTGCCTTGGGCACCTCAGAAGGACTTAACAGTTGCAGTAAGATCAAATTGCTAGTTTACTGGAGTGAAGGAAGATATGCAAGGATAGGAAATTAAAGACATTTTGAGAAGGTACAGTTTCTGTTATTCAGTTGAGACATAAGGTTTATAAAGGGTGGGGCACAGAGAAGATTTTAAAACTATGAGAAAGTGGCCAGTCCTGGTGTCTGCCTGATTTCCCCGGCCTAGCAAAAGGGAGAGCCTTGATGATAAAAGAGGATAGGTGAAAAGTCAAAAAAAATAAGAAAAAGCAAAGGCCCCAGGAGGATCCACAGAAAGATGGAATGGAAGAGCTATCTAGTTCTGCTGTCCCCACAGAGCCAGGGTGTCTATTAGTTTTTGCCCGTACATCAAAACTATTGAAGGCAGATTGGAATGTATTGGGATGGGTTGAAGAATGCTCAGGAACCAAGAATGCTACCTTGGAAGAATGTAAAAATGAAAAAGATACTTACTGTGGGCATGGGTTATGGATTGTGCATGAGAAGTATTTTTCATATTTAAAAATGAAATCCTCTCTATACAAGGGAGATTCAGAAAACTTGTGGGAAAATAGAATTGAAAGATCATAGAATTTTCCAGGAAGTTTTTAAAACCCCCTCGTATGTCTCTCTCCAGATATTCTCATACAAACTCAATATTTCTCTTTGGCATTGACCTTTTGTGGCTGGATTCAACCCAGCTTCATGACTTTACCAACTGTGTGACAAAGGGCAAGTTTCTTAAATTCTAGTCCAGATTCTTCATCAGTAAACTGGAAATCAGATGCTACTTCTAATTTGGTTGTAACTTATACTACTTTGTACATAGCATTTAATATTATGTACATATACATGTATAGTTTCCCAAGCTATGTTATGTTTGTTATAAGTAGGAAACCCACTGGGGCAGTTCAAGTCTGCCCCATAGGGTCACCATGAGGCAGAATCACTTGATGGCAATGTGTTTGGTTTTTGAGTTTTATGTATGTAAGTAATATTTGTGGAATACGTGTACTATGCTCCGTTTCAGCTTATTTTTTAAATAGGCCTTGTCAATTATAAATGTATCTGTATTAGTCTGGGTACTTTGGAGAAACAAATCCACAGCAACTTATGTATAAGAGAGAGTTTTATGTAAAGAAAATGTGCATCACGAAAACATCCCAACCCA